TTCACACAATCTCATTTATTGTGGCACCATACACCTCTGATACATTCTCGCAATGACTGCTTTGCAGCTGGGGTGGAAGGAATATAACCTGCCAACAGGGCAGAACAATGAATTACAGGCAAGTCTTACAAAACCTAATATATACCTGGCAGTGGAATAACAGTTAATGTTGCCCACGGGACTCTACTCCACAAGGGGCTAGTCAAGCCAGGAGGTGTGCATGTGTCACTGAGTGGGAGTAATAACATGAATATGTGAGTGTGAACCTTGTAGTAGATCAGGAGGCAGGATGTGTCACTTGCCATGGCCATCCACCTCTCCAGACTAGACAGCACAGCACGTGATAGTGAGGAACAAGTGGCAGTAACAACAATCTTGCCACCGCCACCACTCTGCCACACCTCCATAGCCAGTCTCACCCCGCCCAGTCCCAGGGAACTTAAATTTAACCAATTACATACTATTTACTTCCATTAGCAATGCCATCACTTGTTTCTCAAATGAGAAGAGCAATACAAAGGTTTTGCAATGTTCCCTGAGTCTCTGGTCTGCCTGTGTCTAAGCTACAGGTCACCCAGCCACATTCCCTCAGCCATCGCCACGCACCACACTCCATCACTTGTCCACTCAGATACAGAGAGAAGGCCTATCACATATGGGACTTGGCCCTGGAAATGCTGCAGCACTCTACAATACACTGTGTGAGCCATCAGGTGACTGTTAGCAGTACAAAACAGTGTGTGGCAGATCTGCACTGCTGCCAGCCACCCTGGCACTGGTCCTTGGGACCCCAGGCACTGGTGACTCCTTCATCCACCACTACAGCGGCTGGTCCCAACTGCTCTGGTCCTTGTGTATGCACCGGTCCCATTTGGTGAATCCGAATGCACACTTCATGCCCTGCTGACATGTATTTGGTCATACATTTGGCAGGGCCGCACCTGGCCACCCTCACACACCTGAGTGCACATGCACGCTGGCAGTTGGTAATGCACAGGAGTGAGCCTGAGCACCGGCCCACCACCACTGAGCACCAAGACACCTGCTGGCTTCAGCACTGTATCACGCGTCACACTATCACATCCCAGGGGATATAACAACTTTCATTACAACAAGTACATCTTAAGTGATATTATAAAGTATGTTTGAAAGACTAAGTAAAAGACTTGGTGGTCATATTTTCCCACTGTTTGTCCTTGGTTCTGAGGGTCTACTAACACTTGTATATAAGGTGGGATTTTCTATCACCTCAGTATATAAGGGCGGAAAGTCATGGTCCGCAGTTGGACTGCAGCGTGACTGTGAGGACTGTCCAGAGGTGTGTGGGAGGCCCATACTACTCATATGGACTCCTTGTGAGCCACCTGGCACCGAGGAGTGACTGGGACTATGAGCTGTGCGAGCCGATGGTCCACACGGCACCGACACCATGGTGATATCCGCCAAGGTGGTGGCCGCTGGGCAGTAGGGCATGGAGATGTTAATGTCATGCGATGGCGATGGAGAACTGGTCCCCATACCTTGGTGCCGGCCTCCTCGTCGGCTTCCTTCCTGGTGCGGTGCGTACTTGGGCGATGTGAACGGAGCCACCATGTTCGCTAGGAGCTGTGTGCCTCGCTGCCCTAGTCCTCCCGGTTTCCGCATCCTCCTCGGCGACCCCCTGCCCTCGTCCCCGCATCCCCAGCCTGGCAACGACGACGACGAGGATGAAGATGAAGATGACGCAGATACCGCTGGGTGTTGCGTTGCCCGGGGATCCATGGGGGCTGAGTACCGGTGCTGCTGGTGTTGGGAGTGGTGGTGCGACCCGCCGTGCCCCACGCCCCACTCACTCTGTATAGGGAAGGATCCTTCTGAACAGGATCTGTGCGATACGTCACACTCCACATCAAATAACGTTTTGTTGGCTGGTGGTTTGATGTATTCCCTTGTTATTTCTGCCTCCTGAAAATGGACGAAATGAATGAGTCACAGAAAATAAGAGTGGGTACTACTTGATGTTGCTTGCCAGTGCCAACATCCATGACAGTGACTGTATTAAAAGACCTATAATTTATGTAGTGCAAATCAAGTGCTGTAAAGGTGGTATAACTCATCTTCCTCGAACTCGGAAAACGACACAAAAATACTGTTAGTCATCTTCTCCATCTCCTGAGTCCAACAAAGCGAGAGTGAGGACAGAGCTTATCCAGAAACCTCGAAAAGAAAAGTCACTGTGCAGAGTCCTCTCCTTTAAGCCTCAATTGAAATCATGTCTCATATTCCTCAAGCTGTGTCATGGCATTATGTAATAAGATTTTTTTAAAGGTTAGGATACTCAATAAATTTGCAAAGTCTCACACAGTTTGTTTATCTAAGAATATGGCCGGCGACGCTGCTATAAGATCAACGCAGCTGTGCCTCTGTATTCATAATTTATATTTTGATGACAGAATTACACAAAATGATCATGCTATTGAGTGAACATTATCAAAATACTTCTCGCCATTAAAAAGTCTCG